CTTTCCCTTCCTGCGTCCCTGCTTCATGCTTTGATACAGTCTTCAGTTTGAAAATCTGACTCCTAAATGCCACCAGAGGCCAGGGTTATCCACCTTCTCCTGCCAAACCCCCAGGGGCTTTGCTTTCCTCTCACCCTGGGACAGTGGATCCTTTAGCACCCAGTTCTGCCACATTCACTCTCATCTCTGTCTTCAACCCCTCGGTTTCCCCTCCTTTTTGTCACCCAGAACTGAGGGTGTCTCCTGCTTCAGTCAGGAGCTCCAGTCACCCCACCTCTTGCTTCTCACTGGAACTCTTGGACTGGGAGCAGGGAATTCTACTCCAGGATCCTTATCCTGGTAACACACAATTCCATAAAGCAACACACACAAAGAAGCCAAAGCTATCAACCTTCCAAGTAGTCTTCCCACACACACCACAGTCACACAGGGCCAGTTACAACCATACAGGGTAACACACAGACACTGACACAAGACCTCACATACCTCCTGATCACACAGAGGACACAATCACAGGCACCCAACGGAAGGCACATCATATGCAGTCACATATATCACAGTCTCAGAGAGGCCATGGGTACAAACACACATGGTGATACACAAACATCACACATATACCCCCAATCTTATTCTCTCACACACACCCATGGCTCACTGCCCCTCATCTCTGTCTCACTCACACCCACACTCTCCACAACCTCACAGAAGATATATTTGCAAGCCTTGTGACAATCCATGGTTCACAGTCTCTCTCCTACTCACTTTGGTGTCACCCACAACACATCACTAGTTTTCCTCTCTCTCACACACATTCTTAATGGTCTCTGTTTCAGAGACACACGGATTTCTCACACACATAGATACACAAACACTGCAATTGCTACCTTTCTCACACACACACAATACACACTGGGGTCTCCCTCACACTCGGACACACACGGACTGTCATACAACCTCACACGCCGGACACACATACTCCAGTCTCACACGCTCACACCAACATGCTCTCGGTCTCTCTCACACACACAATCGACCCCACGATCTCTCCCTCTCAGCCTCTCCTGGGGCCCCAACACACTTGCTGACCTCTCACACTCGGGCACAGCCGTTTCCCTCACACACACCAACATGCTCTCGGTCTCTCACACTCACAGTCAGGTCTCTCTCTCTCACACACACACACACCCGCCCTCACGATCTCTCCCTCTCAGTCTCTCCCGGGGCCCCACACCTGCTAACCTCTTACACACAGGCACACCCGTTTCTCTCACACCCACACCAACACACCCCGCTCGCACTCTCTCTGTACTTTTCACAGTCCAGTCTTGTCTCTCACACACACGCCGCTCCAGCCGCGCCACAGCCCCGAGCCCGGTTCGAGCCGCGGCCTCGGCGCACCCGCGCGGGCCTCTGGGAAATGTAGTCGGTCCGGGAGGGACGGCGCAGCGGAGCTCAGGCCAGGGCTTCACGGCCGGGTCCGAGCCGCTTGCCTCGCCTGCCCTGCCCCGCCCCGCCCTCGGGCTTGGACACCCGACCACCCAAAACAACCCGCAGGCCTCCCCCCGGAAGCCAGCCGCACTCACCCGAAGGACTTCGGAGCCTTCGCCCGGGAATTGAGTGCGCAGGCGCCGAATCTCCCAGATGGGCGGAATAAGGGGAGGGGTTAGACTCGAGGGGCGTGGGACGGGGCGTGGTTTAACAGAGAGGGGCG